TTTAGAAATTTACGGTCTTTAAACAGTTTTTACTTCAAATTTTCTCAACAACAAAACACACTTTGTATGTAAAGATATTGAGGGGTAAAACCTCTCGTAATAAATACTTAAGATTGTGATGTTAGGTAAAAGAAATGAATAAAGAAATATATAAATCACACAAACGTGCAAACTTAAATGACAAAAATTAAAAAAAGAAAAATGAATAAAGAAATGTTTACGTCATACGAACGTCCAAAATTAAGTGACAAAATTGATATAAATAAGTCAAAGTGGCTATCTTTCGTATAATAGGACAATCAGCATAACAATGATAATCAGCTCAACAGTTTTTTTACCTGAACATGGAGGAAGCGCCATCTTTGACCACGTGCCATTTTCTGTGCAAGTGATCGTCTGCTCCTTTTCCATTGACGGAAAACGGTACCCTGTGCCGCAAACATAAGTCACTGTAGAATTCACACCAGTGTCATTTCCGATTCGTTCTGCATTAATGACAAACGGGATGTCGTTACACACGGAAACGCTTGTAGTAGCATGAACTGGGGCAGTAGTTACGGCAACCGTTGACCGTGCCTCCGTGATTGATGGAACGGATCCTGTTGTCTGAGTCACTGTCACAATAGAAGTGGCCTCAATTGCTGTATTGTCACTCAAGACCTCGCTAGAAGTCATTATAGAATCGATAGATATCTTTTGACTTTCTTCACCTAAGAGGGTTATCTCAGTTATCTCCATATATGAAGAAATAACAGGGAAATAGGTTACGGCAATGGAATACTTTTCATTTTTCGAACTTGAGGGTGCTATGGTACTTTTTTCAGTATCGGAATTTGGCACGGCGGGCGACAATGTTGACTTCAGGGTATTTACTTGACTACTGCTGGTACTTGGCGACATGGCACCGGTCGCAAGTGTTGAAGTCAGGATGTTAACTTGACTACTGCTGCTACTTGGCGACATGAAACTAGTCGCCAATGTTGAAGTCAGGATGTTAACATGACTACTGCTGCTACTTGGCGACATGGCAGCGGTCGCCAAAGTTGAAGGCAATATATCTACTTGACTACTGCTGCTACTTGGCGACATGGCAGCGGTCGCCAAAGTTGAAGGCAATATATCTACTTGACTACTGCTGCTACTTGGTGACGTGACGGCGGTCGCAAATGTTGAAGTCAAGATATCTACTTGACTGCTGCCGCTGACGCTACTTGTCACGACGCATTCAATTGTTATAAAGAATTCCGTTTCACTGGTCGAAGTAAGAGGTCTATTGTTTCCGGAAATTGTTGCCGATGTCATGGAAACTGTTTCATGACTGCTTGGGGTTAAAGTGGACGACGAAGAGGACGCTGAAGACAGCACATTGGTAGATTGGGCCACTGGACTACTAGAGCGGGATGACTGGCGCTCTAAATGGTTCTTGAATGCTGAAATGATAAGAAGGAATGGGGCCATAAGTATGTCATTTTCAAAAAGTCTTCTCCTGCTGTCAACATTAGTTTCATAAACAGTAGCGTACTGACAAGACCAAAAACCAGATGAAGCATTTTCGATTTATTTAACAAAACAATGTCAACTCCAATTTACTCTACGAAGCATTTCCTAAATTCAGTAGGGTACAAATAATTGAACGGTTTTCTGCTTTTTTTACTTTACAATTTGAACAAAATCTTCGTGGTTATTTATACTTAAACTTACCTTCAGTGAAAATCAGAGTAGTGGTACTTGTTTCAAAAACTGTATCATTAATATAAGAGTCGTACTGTGAGTCAGCGGTAAAAACCACGTGGCCATTCGACACAGCGTCAGCTAAGGTTGACGTCACATATACCTTGTGGCATGTCCCGGAATTTGTTTTGTAGGTGACCGCCACACAAGGCGAACCCGAGCTGGATTCGCACAGACTTATGCAGTTTTCTGGGGACTTTTGCCCCCCGGAAAGTGTGATGCTCTCTCCTAGTACTCCATTGCTATCAGTCATCTTTACATCAGTCCGCTGGAACCACGCGCAAAAGCAAGGCCCTAAAACACATAGCAATTGAATTTTTTTAAACAAGAACAACAGAGAGTATATATTTTAACAATGTAAATGCAAAACATGTCAATGTTTTTCCAAAGAGGATTTATCAATCAAAACCATATTTTACATTAAGATACTATATAGTGTTACTCAGTAGACAAAAAAGGACGTGTTTAGTGCGAAAGATATATATGTATACGCGTTTAAAAAGCCCCAATGCTATATTTTATGTTTAGTTATGAGGTCATTGATTATATCCTACGTGTACCAAGCTACTTCTATTTTTCAAATCAAAACTTTAACCCCCCCCCACACACACACAAATAAAGAAATGCTTTATGCTGAAATTTCCTTTTGAATTGTTAGGAACATTACGTTCTACGAAAAAGTGTGCCTTGGTACTATTAGGATTGTTAAAACACACAGAGAGAGGGAGAGAGAGAGAGAGAGAGAGAGAGGGATGGACAAACAGCCATACATGTATAAACTGATGAAAATAAATACTCAGAGAAAAAAGCAATACCTGCTATATAAACAACAACGATCGCTAGCCTTAAAAGTGTACCTGAAAATAAATCCCAAAATGAACATTTAAAGTATACATGTATATTTGGACGATGAACATTTATGTTTTGTTCCGAATATAAAAATTACATAACGTGCCAATTACCATGTCAAGGCCCACTTTATCCCTTGCAGTGCTTCAATTGTTCTACCTTATTAAGAGGGTTCGATGTGTTATGAAGCCCAAGTCAAGTTAAATCATCCTCGCTTTTTAATTGATATTCTTATCTTAATACCATTGAATGACAAATGAACACATTCAGAGCGAAATCTTCGTTTTTGTTGTTATATTCACGACCTTATTAGCTTCAGTGAAAGGGTGACCAAAGGATAATCGTCGATTTCACTGCTTAATAATAATAATAATAATAATAATAATAATAATGTTTATTTGCAACAAAATTAGTTTGATTATTGCAAATTGTTGGATCCATTAAATGGAATGATATTAATTGGCACTTTGAGAATATTTAAAATGCATTAAGGTTTATTTTAAAACACAAGAACTTAAGTCAGTTTTTAAAACATTGCAGTGCCCATATGATCAAATGCCTTCGAAAATATGATGGTTCAACGCATATGGCATGTAAATGGTAAATTGTGTGGGACGTCGACCGGTTCAAGACGTAACTATGAAGATTCATATCAAATCACAGTATATTTCTTTAAAAAATAATCAGTTTATCAAATTGATGCATCTATGAAGATCTACTAAAAATATTTTACGTCCTTGGATAGGTTCCGACGTAACTCTGATACTAAGTGAGGTCGTGAAAATTGGCAAGGTTGGCAAGTAAGTGTCAAAAATAATTTGGTTCCATGGTTTGATTTTACTTTTTTGCTTAGGAGATATGTGTCACTAAAACGATGTTTGCAGTGGGTGTTAAAACAGCTTTAATAACTGTTCAGGTGAAGTGGATCTGTTTTGAATCGATATAACAGCAAAACGCAGCCGTTACGTCATCAGCTTGAACTAGCCAATTCACTGGTGTATATGTGATATGCCAACACTGTCTCATTATTTGACCATACATATTTTACCATCATTTAAGTGGACAAAGAAACAGATCTTAACGTATCAAAATTAAAATAAGTATGAATAATCTAAGTGTTTGATTTTTTCATCCTCATCAAAACCCTCAATTTTCTGAAATATGATACAATAATTCGAGATCAAGGGCATAGGTAAAAGGGTGCCTGTAGTGGTGACCATAAATATATCCCATACCAAACTGAATGCAAAACTCAGTGCAAGAAATGTCTTAAAATGATAACCCATCGTTTAGAATAAACGGAAAACGCCATTAAAGGCTCGTTGTGCCGTATCAGATCACTAACCTCCAGATCCAAAGTTCATTGTCCTGTTAATTTCCTGAAAGCTATTCTAGATCCTGGAAATTAAAAAAAAAATCACCTGTGATCTTTTCGTGAATTGGCTTTCTGCGGAAAACCGTGTTCAAAAATTCAATTGGACAGCTCGTGTGCTCTGCTGTCTTAATATTGACATACCATAGCCATTTTGGTTTTATACTCGTACAAATTTGATACGCTTCGAACAAGATCACCCTCATTTGCACCACGTATTGACCCTCACAAAAATTTAATAAAATTAAATAAAATAAATGAATAAAAAATAAAAATAAAATTAAAAAAAAATTACATTAAGACTTGGATTCAGCGACTTTATAAGACGTCAACATTTTATTCGTTAATCACTTGACAAAAGTTACTCATAAGTTGTATAAATCTATGAGAAGTTACCTTGGGAAAAGTCCGGTGTGGGTGCCCATAACTCATTCTGTTCAGCGAAGCTGTATGGTCCAGCGCAGTATCATCAGGTAAACTGGTGTACTGTCCAAGAAAAACATTACAAGATTCAACTGAACGTGCATTCGCTTTTATCCCTCTCAAATAACCGGCTTTCATCAAAATTTGTGCAGATATCGTGTCCAAAAACAAACAAACCAGAGAACACAACCTCCCTCTTTAATTGGCAGAGATAAAAAGAAGCGGATTCGCTAGATGATTGTGAACTCACATAACGAAAATACCAGGGCATTAATTTGAACCAGTAGAATACATATGCGATTAATTTATTATGAAATCCCAATAGCACCTTTTCACTCCCTCCGGGTACTACTTAGGTGATTGATTTTTGGTTCGGGATGGTCCTGCAATTGCGTTGTGCAGCTGACAGATCTGTGGCGTTTCCCCTACACACAATTAACTTCATTAAATATTAACCTTGAATTCAGCTAGGATGTATGGCAAAGCCATTAAACCTATCACCTAATCCGTACTTCAAAGAGGGGCATACAGTTTTTATTTTAATTTTTCATTATATCTCGGTATATTATATTTCGTAAATATATTCTTAAGTATCAAGCCACAGGGTTGCTATCCCAACGTTTAATGTTGGACTCGAGTCTAATAGTTAATCATAAAAAAATGTTCTGTAATTACGTGCACGATAAGTACAATGCCAAAATAATTTTAGATAGGAACAAGATAGGATGCAGAGTATCTTGTTTGTAGGAAGTAGAAAATGAAGGAATATTAGTTCTTTTTTCATCGACAGTATTCCACTTAACGAGTGCAGGTTCTGTCAGCTGTATTTATCCACTCTGTCTATGAGAAATGAAATATCGACACTGGAGTTGGAGTGGAGAGGTAATGTGACGTATGACTCAGTTTTTCATCCGTTTAGGTCACGCATGGTGAGGTTCAAGGTTATGAGTGAGGGGGGAAAGTCAGCACAATCTCAAAAATCCTGAATAACCTTGGTGTTTTCAGAATAGAATAGCAAAAAATCCCAATTTACAAAATTTTAAAAATACACAAATAGCTTTGTCATTTAGAATAATAACCATTGTTTTTTTTAAATAATAAACGTGTTTTTTTTCATTGGCAACGTAGAAGGGCATATGTAAGAAAATATTTTACATTTTTAGGTGAGTCTCTTTTGCACTGACATTTTAAATAGCGTCACCCAAATAGTACTTGACAACATTACAGACCTGGGCTCCGTATCTCGAAAGGTTCGCTATGTTGCGCACGTGCGCAAGCGTCTCGATTCCATAACTGGCCCATACTCGTCCCATATAATACATAGCAACCTCTATTTGATATAGCGATTCGCAATATGCGATGCCTTCGAGATACGGGGCCCAGTACTTTGCGTTCTCCATCAATGCGCATTTTGTAAAGACAATCAAAAATAGAAAAAATAAATAAATAAAACAGCGTGGTGTCGGAGCAGCAATTTGATACATTAAGTCAACTAAATTAATTATTTACCCTTGTTGGGATGGCAAATACTTCAGGGCAGGTTAGAACCACGATATAACTGGTGATCTACCTGTATACCACCAGTAGTGACCAGGCATCGTAAGCTTAGACAGTTAGTTTAAAGAGAAACATATTTAGTTCGACGTAAAAAAAATGACCTAAGAACAGTTTTTGTTCTCAAATCATATTAGCAAGGACACTTACCTTTTTAACACAGAAATTAAGGCAAAACACCATGGCGGACTGTTCCTGTGACTCCCCAATCCACTTAATTCGGGCAGTGCGTCTGATGATAAATAATGCAAAGGCGTTCGCTTCACCTGATACGTACCTGTATTGTATTGTATTGTATTGTATCATATTTTATGGAACCACATTGTATCATGAGACCACTGATGGACTCAAGTGGGCCTATCTTTGTATATGTCTCAGGTAAATCTGTTCGGTTGCTTAGTTTATGTGAGAGCGTGTTTTGTTGCAATCGATTATAATTTTCAGGAAAAAAATCGATTGAGACTGAATAATAAGGGATATCAAAATGACTTTTAAATATGCAGACTTCATGCACTGCATTTATGACTATTACATTTATTATTATTATTATTATTATATCGGCCTATCGTCAATAGCCACAATGATCAAGAGCATGAAAAATGCTGTCAAACATAAAGAATAAATATGAAAAACATTACATCATTTTCATATTTAATCAGAAAAAAATGAAAACATACCATTTGTTGGTCTTTTGCGGCTTATGGTGACAAAATGCAAAATAGCTCTTCAATAATAACAAAAAAATCTCACGATTTAACTGAATTTCATCTCACTTTTGGAACAAAGTAGGTTTGAAATCTCTTAGTTCAATTCCCAAATTTGAATGTTTTGTTGTTTTGTTGTTTTTTTTCCTTGTATATCAACAAATCCGAATAGTCCTTTGCACTTCTGTCTCGGTAGTTGTTGTTTTAATACGGCGCTTATTAAACTGCACGTTTGTCCTAAACCAGGGCCACTAACGATAACACGATTCCACCACAGGGAAATATATTTAAATGCCAATATGGTACAGGGAATTACAAATCACGGCCCTTCTATACAGGCTTGCTCTTTTTACAGTGTAGTTACATGTAGCTATAGATCTTGATGCATCAACTTTCTTCGAACTGGTAATTTCACTCATCCTCACAGGGTGTTATCAGGGTTTAATCAGCATTGTGAAAAGGCATCAGCAGTGCGACATTTCCTAAAACGAAACAGATTCGTGGAATCGTCATTCAGAACAACTCAAATACGTGAGTGGGCCATCAATCATTGTGCAATATTACGCCTGGTTAGGTTATTGAATTTATAATGCTGATCGATACAAACTATCACGCAGTAGTAGTGCAAATGTACCTGAGTCTTTGAACATACATGTGTAAAACGATGTAAGCATTAATATAAATGCACATTATCGACAGACATGTACATATACATGTAATGTTCCAAGTGCATTTACACGGAAATGCAATCAGTGGCAAAATACATAATCAGCTTGTGTCATATAAATAAGTCAGTTGCCCTAACGGTGTGTGTTATCAGGGAATGATACGAGTTGGGGGAATATTCGAAAATTACTCATGGCCTCTTCAATTAATGTGAATGCACATTTTACGAGCGGTTTTTACATCGAAAGCAAGCAAAGTTATTATACACACACTGGACACCCCCTGAAACAGAGTAATCAAAGTAATAACGCCTGGTCTACTTTAAATGTGACGAATGAGTATAAAACCGCTTCGCCATGGAATTGTATTGTTGGTATTTGTGTGAAATTTGATGTTAATAAAATGATACCAGGAGCACATCATTCCACAGTCATTTATCTCCCCAAAAGTATTGGTTCAGTAGGAGTGACACTTCTGTTGTCCAGTGTGTGTAGTCATATTTGAAATCTCCCACTAATCCGAATGAAATGTGAAAATATCAATGTGGCGGTCATGTGTTCTGTCTAAATAAAGAAACACTGGTAAGGCCAGACAGGCAGTATTATTAAGTGCTACCAATTATTTCTACAAAAATATCATATAAATTCTACTAAAAGTTTTGTCCGCCGGATTTGTATTATGTACACATTCATAATATTGGCCTCCTAAAAACATCAACTAAAACTCATGTTAATTGTTTCTGGCACGGTAAGCTGAGTCAACTAACAAAAATCGATTTCACGTATCGAATTAAGGTGACCCACAAGTTCATCGACATCACGCGCAACAGATTTGAACCCTGTACCTAAGGAAGAGAGCTTTGTTTTTCACTGATCCAGGTGCAGTGATTCAGCTAAAGTTGCGCAAGTTGCACCACCCTAAGGTGTCAAATGGATGCCAAGAATATCTGTATGCAGCAATCTTTTTCGTCCATTGCTTTTGTGTCTCAACGAACACAATGAGTGTGACACATCAACACCACGTTACTTCTCCTATTTCAGCAATGATAGAATTGACTTATCAACGAACTTCACCCACCCCATTGAGTCGGATAGTTCTGAGGGGGGTTATATTGCTTATTAAACCTCATTAAATCAAACAAAACAAGTGACAGTGTTCAATGAAGGTTCCCGTGTAAGCATATTGTAGTTAAAATCTTACTGTCACAGCGAATATTGACTAAACATGTGTTTTTTAAAGAACAATTACAACGAAAATAATAACTCTGTTCAAGTGTCAACAGATACCACTGATAAACTCTTATAATATACCGTTCGTGATTATTACGTTTCAGACAATTTAAGATACAGCGATTTGTTGCGCTCTGTTTGTTTGTCAATTGTATGCCTTACCAGAGTTGGGGGGGGGGGGGGTCAAGCATACAAGGTAGGTGCCCTTATTTACATTTACATTATGATATTGCTATAAATCATATGGGGTTATCATAAGCGGTCTCTTTGTTGTTATTCAATGAACAATCTTTTAAAAAAATATCTATGCTCCTTTTAACCTGAGCTTACTTTAGTGGATTATGATATTAATTTGGTAGAGAGGGCGGTAGACCGGACCGTCCCCATTAAATTCCTTGTATCATAAGTATCTATTTTATCTTATCTATTCGTTCTTCAGTCTCGCCCCTCGTTTACATTAAAAAACTACGATGACATTAAAATAAATTACGATGACATTAAATACCACGCTTTCAAGTGTTTGTGTGAATTATGTGTTATTCTTCTAATCAATCCACAAGACCAATTGGTTTGAAAACGTTGGCATTCTGTCTTTGCAAGAATGCCTGACTGCTTTCTTTGGCAGGTAGACATAAAAACCTCGCTACCATCCCAGTATCGTCAAATCTTAACGGGGGCGGTTATGGCATGCAGTACAAAACACTATGACAGTTCTTGATAATGCAGAACAAACATATCACCATGCAGCATCGACCGCAATATGTTGGCTATCAAAACACAGGTCATCGTCTTGATTTACAAAGCTAAAACTGATAAACAAGAAAATGTGCCTATTTATCTCTACAATTGCTATCAAATGAAATTTTTCATGCTGTACCAGTTGAAAAATAAGTGTGCTCTTTGACTGGAACACTCTTTTTACTAAAGAAGAATTGGAGTGTTTTAAAGCAACATAACTTTCCTCTGTTCTGTTTCCAAAATATTTCTAAAATAGTGTAATGGTATACTCAGTCGCTAACTATACAGCATAACAACTGCATCCTTCGAAATATTAATACTATCACATGGTATCTTTTTTCAAAATAAGAATAAGAAACGACTGCCTGAAGTAAATAAACACCTTGACACCTTTGAACACCTTGGGATGTTCACCTGCTCACGTAGACCAGTGCTGTAACAGGTCATAGTACATGTTTATATATCCAGGAAAGTCGCTGCCCAGGTTTTTATTGGTACGAAGAATACAATGTGCTGATTGGCTTTGAGTCATTTGGATTCACAGTCAGTGATAAGTGGTCCCTGGGAAGTGTTAGGAAGTGTTAGGAGTAGTAGGTAAGTTTGAAATACGGCGAATATGAAATGTGTCACTTTTGACTGGTGTTTCTTAAAGCAGTGTATATGACACAGATTGGTTTTCTACTAAAATTAACATGTTGCTACACGGTATATGTGCAGTAATATAATTCGCACGATTCGAAATCTAACCCTTTACTTTTCATATGACAAAAGCCAGACGTGCGAAATGTTTCTGCAAAAATGTGATGCACTTGATTTTCTCGTTCATTGCCCACATTTCAAAATATCGCGTGTAATGTGCGCGATGTTTTTGAAATATTCTGCAATAATAATAAGTTTTGGTTTTCTCTTTCTAAAGTGTTCTAAGACTCGGGATGGCGTCTTCGAACACTACAGGTAGTGAGGAAAAAGTAGGGAAAGTAGACTGCGATCAGGACGAGGTTCTAGAGTTGGGTAGAGAGTTGGAAAACAAGTGTCACGAGCTTGTTGAAAGCGCCAAAGAAGCCTCCAAATATCTGCATTCTCTTGCCGACGAAATTGACGAGCATTACAAAAGATGTAACAGAGGTAACATCTCTTAATTATAATTATGACTATTATTAATATTATTATTATTATTACAATTATTATTATTTGCAGTTTGTAAGGTTCCTTATAGGTTCCTCGTAATGATCTTACATTTTGACATTTTATTGCGAATATCATATCAAGCCTTTTACCACTATCCTCTGACAGGGTCTCAGATACTTTTTCACTATAGACATTCACAAAAAGTCTCTTGCTGTGCTGTGAACCTGTTATGGTATCTCAGAAGTACTACAAAATCCACATAAAATAGTTTAGTAAACTTATATACTAAAGTCGGGATTTGCATGGTAAATTTTTTTGTAAAAAGTTGTGAGCAGATAGAAGCTGTCACTCATGATAATACAGTTAATTGCCTCGACCCTAATCGCCTGATTAGCTATGCTCAAACACAACTGTTAACTTGGTCGGTCAATGAAAATAAAACATAACACAAAAATTGAATTAAAATACCACACCACACTACCACAAATGTTGATACTACAACTCTTACGTGATCTCAGCTTACTATAGTTCATGCAAATAACGGAGTCTAGCGATATCATTAGCTTCTATCTGGCCAAAAGTTCCAAGGTCATGCTGGAGAAAAGTAGACATAATATTTCTGCGGGAGAGGGTACCTTTTCCCTTCACTCACATCAAACTTTGTACCTCGTAAATGTTTTCCTAACGCAGGCCCGTAGCCAGGGGGGTTCGGGGGTTCGAAAGAACCGCCCCATTTTGCTGGGTAAAGGTCCACTCTATGTAAAATTTGATATAGGTACAAGGAGTTTTTTTTATGGGAAAAGGTCCACTTTTTTCAGAAAAAGAACCCCCCCCCCCTTTTGAAATTGCTGGGTAAGGGCCTGTAACGTTTAAATTCCGACCTCTGATTGCAGGCACAGGGCAGCTTGCATATAACATGTTATCAAAGATTAACCAAACTCAGACGGGAGGCGTCAACGACAAAGGGCAGAAATACTACATGTATATTTTATTCCATTTAATTATGAAATAATTGAGGCCTGTAATGTTTGAAGATTTTTTACCACATTTTCAGGAAAAATTGTCGGTTCGACACTTTCCCTGGTGGGGTTCCCACTTATTGCTGTAGGCTTTGGTTTGTCATTCGTGACATTTGGAGCGTCGCTTGGTCTCTCCATCGCCGGTGCAATACTGAGTGGCGCAGGAGGTATCACAGCCGCCGGTTCGGGTTTAGCTGAGCATTTCATCACCAAAGCCAGGTGCAGAGCGGCACAGGAAGCAGTTAATGCTGTCCACGAGAAGGCTGAAGCATATAATAAGAGCTTAGAAAAGCTTAAAAAGATGGTTCCATCTTCTGGTTTCTTCTCCGCCGTTAGACATACAGGTTCGTTAGCGTCGAATGCAGCGAGCGGTGTCGGGACCTCAGTCATAAATAGCGCCAGGCTTTTTGCGGGCGTTGCAGACGACGCCGCCGCAACTGTTTTTAGAGGGCTGAGTACAGGGCTACGAGTAGTACACATAGGTGGGTTTGTGTTGAGCGCACTGCTGGTACCCTACGATATTTACACCTTAGCGTCGTCCTCCGTCAAGGAGCATCGCAAGACCGGGTCTGAACAGGCCAATAAGATCAGAGAACTAGCCAGAAAAATTGCACAGGTGTTCTCGCTTCTAGATCCTGAAGACATAGGATGGTTGAACTTGTTCAGCTAGACTTAAACGAGACTTAAACCCGAACTCTAACATAGCTTTGTCTGTACAAATTTACAATAATTGGAAAGAGACTTGTCAACATTGATAGATCATTAAGCTGATTTATCAATAGTCCAAACTTCAAATACGTACTGAAATTCTTCGAAAAAAAGCAACGTCAACGATTATCCAATACGTTGTATTAATTTTCATCCAAGATATAACACACTCAATTGTGGGAGATTATTTTTCGTTGAACTTTGGTCTCGAGCTCTGATCAATGTAAACCATTAGACTATCCAAAGCAGGGAATTAGGAATAATTGTTCACATTATGATTAAGTTTTCAAATTTTCCATTCCTTCAATTTTTGAAAATGTAGTGATCTTAAGACTGTTTTAAAATTATGGAGAAGTGACCAAATGAACCAAATTTTAAAAGATTAATCTAATCAATTTTAAAGTCTACATAAAATGTACACTGTGTCTAATTCAAAACTAAACGTTAGGTAAGGTTGCTTTTAATCCCTTGTTAAATATTAATTACTTATCTTTTAAATTTCCAATAATTAAATATGTACCCTTGGACCGAAACGAATAGTTTTAAATGTAAACATGTAAATTTATGATTTCATATGACCAGTCTTATGAAATATTTCTCGTGGGTTGCAATTTTCTTTAATAAATGTTTCTATTGGTATCATTGCCTTTGGTCTATTTTCCATTATTTTAAAATAGTTGAAACAGATCAAGCGGGCGTACTGATAACTATAACCATAGTTTTAAAAATGTATATTCGTTTTACCAACACGTGCTCCTTGAGAGAGCATAGATGAGGAAAATATTTATGCAATAAAAAAAAACAGGAACCGTTATTCCAAACTTCCTCACTGATCACATCACGAATCATCATCTAAATAAAAAAGTCGTACAAGTCAATAAAAAGACAGTTTGCACATAAAGTTGTGTCATTTTCTAGATCTCTAAAAAAGAAAAAAAATTATGGCAGGACTCTACCTTTATACTCTGTACAAAGAAATCACTTTCGTTTTACTCAAGACGTCCAATCTATCGCAACACATAACAACGACCAAGAAATCACAAGGATATTCTTGCTAATTATAACATTTTTTTACTTTATCTGATACTTTATCCACCACATCTGTCCCTGGTTCCAAAAAATATGCAGTACTTACAGCCTAGCCTGCCAGTAGACCACAATAGACAACACCATAGAAATGCCAGAAAAAATGAAAAACAAAAACACTAGTTTTTCACAGCACTACATTCGTCTATAACAAGCAATAATTGGTCTGTTCTGCCTAACAGAAAAAACACCCTTTTTTCATTATGAAACTAAAAATTAAAAAACTTTGATACATTACAAACTACCCCACCCAATATGGCTGAGAATAGTCTCTCGGTGAATAAGCTGTGTTACGTTGAAAATGTGCTTGCTGTATGGGCCACTTATCAACCATTGCGGCTGCTGAGACAGGGACCATTTCATGAGTCGAAAAAAAAATATGCAAATAATTGTGCCATAATCTGTTTGTATTGTTGTGAAATTGCACAATGATACCTCTGCAAACACTGGGGTAAACACATGTGGATGTTTGCCGTTTTGCACTTTTGAAAAGGGTAACGTAAGGGATATAGAAAATTCTTTAAAATGTTTTAAATATTACTAAACTCAAGTGGAAAACAAATCATCATTACAGGTGTCTGTGATTGTTTGTAAGCATACAGGAAATCAGTTTTCTGTTTTTACCTTCAGAACAATACTAATTGCTCAGTCAGATATTCTTTATTATATTATTATATATTAACCTAGATACCATTCCAACAGATATTTGGATCGATCTTTCTCCCTGGAGAGTCTCACTAAATTGCTGTCAACTTGACAGGGTTAAGTGTCTGTCACGCCTAGTAAAGCTGCTAGAGTGTAATAATCTTTATCCCTAGCTGAGTCGGTAGGTGTGACAGACATTTAAGCCGGTTAGTTGACAGCAAGTTGTTGAGACTCCCTAGGGAGTTAGATCGATCCAGATGATTTGATCTAGGCATGGGCACCCAGTCTTAGTTATCAGCCAAGTTGGGTTAATTTATCACCGAGTTGGGTTAATTTATCACCTGGCCTACTTTTGCTCACGTACACGCTGCTGCAGCACGTCATAGAACATGTTTGTTTATTCAGTAAGATCGATATCACCGCACAGTCTTATAGGTATTAAGTAGACAAGACACTGATTGGCTTTGAGTTACGTTGATTGACAGTCAGTGATCAGTGGTCCCCGGGTAGTGTCAGTTTCAAACTCTGACGATTGAGTAATAGGCAGGTAAGTTTGGAATGCTAAAAATATGAACAATTGATGGGTATTTTCAAGGTTTAAATACTTATAATGTTTTAATTCGTATATCGAGATCCACCAAACCCCACTTGAGCCGATTATTCTTTCTTAGTGTACAAGAAAGACACATTCAACTGTTTTAAAAGCACTTTCATTTTCGGTATTGATCACGTCTAAATATGTAAGGGGAAATTCATGGATGTATAACAGCACTAAAACCAATGAAAAGCCGTAAATCATAGAGTTTGCTGTAGATCTTTGTTCTGTGAGTTTGCATGAGGTCTACGACCAATGAAGACTTGACTTATAAGAAACATGTAACGCTCTTCAAAATGTCTCCGTCTGTTTTTCACACGCAGAATGCCTGATGTTCTATTCAGGAAAAATGATAGTGTTTATTTGTGCTTTCAGATAAACACATCACACCAGCTGGATCGATCAAACTCTGCAGGGATGAACACTTCAGTGGAGTCAATGAAACCAGCTTTAGTGTCAGACACACCTCTTCACAAGCAGTGAATGGGTAATTAACTTTCGTGCGCGATTTCTCTCGAGGACGCGTATCGGACAAATAAACTGATTACACTGGATGCATTTTAGCAAGAATTGTGTCGATCCAGATAGTACGATGGAATAATCTGAACGCCGTCCATATGAGTCACCTGATTTAAACTGATTTGTTTTGCATGTTGCTCTATATGCAAGAATGCAATTCGCATGATTCTTGTGACAATTTCTTTCCACTTTTCATTAGAATTTCTCGTTCATATCCCACATTTTAAAATATCACGTAAGGGGAATGGTGTTCGTGGATAATAAGTTTTGTTGTTTTTACTTTTAGGTGCTCTTAGTGTCGGTATGGCATCTCCAAACACTACAGATAGTGAAGAATCAGTAGGAGAGATAGACATTGCTCAGGATGAATCTCTAGAGTTAAGTGAAAATTTCGAAAACGAGTGTCGCCAGCATGTTCGAAGCGCCGTAACCTGGCCAAACAGAACAGATATAGAGGGAAAAGTAGGAGAAATAGACTTTGACCAGGATGAGGTTTTGCAGTTGAGTAGAGAGTTGGAAATCGAGCTTCGTGAGCTTGTTGAAAGCGCCGAAGAAGCCTCCAAAAATCTGCATCGTCTTGCCGACGAAATTGACGAGCATTTAAAAAAATGTAACAAAGGTAAAATATCTTAGTTATTATTATTATTGTTATTATTATTATTCGTGGTTTCTTAGCTCCCTTATATTGTTCCCATAGCAATATAATGATCCTACGTTTTGGCAATTTATTGCGGCCATCATATCAAGTCTTTCTCTTATCCTCGTTTAAGGTCACAGGTATTTTTTTCATTAGATATTCTATTGCTGTGCTGTGACCCTGTTCTGTTATCTCATAAATACTAACTTGGTAATTTTTGAAGGACAAAAGCCACATAAAATAGTTTACTAAACTTACATATTAAAAACCTGGATTTGCTCGGGAACATATACAAAAAGTTGTGAGCAGTTTAAAGCTGTCTCTCATGATAATGCAAGTACTGGCTCCCACCATTATTGCCTGATTAGCTGTACCTGATCATGGCGGTCACTCTAATGGCCAATGAAAATTTAAAAAAAAATCGACTTAATATACCACATTATTTCATAAAAGTAAAATGCTCAAAACAGACCCAGTGATTAAAACGCCTTTGTGTGTTAGGCTGATTTAAAACTTTCTATTTTAAAAATTCTAATGACATTACCAATATTATTTCGTAAAAGTATAGACCTCAAAACAGGCCCAGTGATTAAAACGTCTTTGTGTTTGCCACCTAGCAAATATAATTGCGCTTGGCTGAAGGTCTGGTTTGTCTCTTTGTTACAGTAGATATTGAATTATTAAATAATTATCATGCATTTAGTTGTAAAACCATTTCGATATATCATTGTAACAAATCAATTTCATAAATGGTGAGCCAGTGTGAGTATCTTTAAGCCATTTAAGGCAAAATTTAAGAATATATTAAACAAGGAATGGTTTTTGTGCCTCCGTTTCTTAAATAAATCTAGCGGCACTGCCCCATGCAAAAGTCATGCTGTAGAAAAGTTGGTATATTTAATCTGAGATAGTGGGTACGTTTCCGTTGACCAATCTCAAATTTGTACCTCGTAAATGTTTTCCTAAAATTTAGATTCCGAAATCTGTTTGCGGTCACAGGGCAGCTTGCATACTACATGTTATCAAATATAGTCAAACTTAGAGGGGAGGCGTTAACAAAACAGAATGAATGTAATTATTTGGCAACCTTTTCAAAGATAAAGTAAATACAAACAGAGCCAACAGAGGTCATTTTCAAACTGATAGTCATACTTGAACAACATGCTAGGGACCAGTGTATTTTGAGAGATTAGCAATTTAATTTACTTTTTAAAATAAAACAAATTAACCTTAAAGGGAGCCGTTCACGAATGGATCAAGAGATGAAAATGTAGCCAACAAAGGCCATCTTCACACCGAGTTCCTTATGACAACAACATACCGGTACATTTTGAGAGTTTAGCAACTTAATTGTTAAAATGTAACAAAATCACCTTTACGTGGGTGGGAAGGGGGTGAAAGGCGTCCGGTCTTTTAGGAGATAAGTTGACTCGCGTGAACCAAAATAGCAACACTTATGGCCCAAAACCTTTGCACAAAT